TTTCCACTTTATTATCGCTTTCTGGCCCACGTGTGATAATGTCCCAGGTGCTGTAGGCTATATTGAGAAGAAGGCAATGGCAAACCACTTCCGAGTATTCCTTGCCAAAGAAAACCCTGTGAATTTCATGAGGTCACCAGAAGTCGACAGGTGACTTGAAGGCATACGTGTGTGCACATGCACACACACATACACAAACCTAATCATCCTGAAGGCACTAGATCTTGTCTGATCTTAGCAACTAAGCAGGCTCAGGCATGGTTGGTACTTGAATAGGGGACCACCAAGGAATTTCAGAGGCAAGCAATGACAGTATTGCATAGTGGTTTGAGCATTGGACTAGGACTCTGGAGACCAAGGTTCTATTCCTAGCTCAGCCATAAAACCCACTCAGTGATCTTGGGCAAGTCACACTCTCTCAGCCTCAGAGGATGGCAAAGGCAAATTCTCTCTAAAGGAACTTGCCAAGAAAATGCAGTGATAGGTTCAGCTTAGGGTTGGAAATGACTTGAAGGCACACAACAGCAACAGCAACAACAACAATGGCAAAATCACTTCTGAATACCCTTTGCCTAAGAAAATCCTGTGAAATTCATGGGGTCACCATAAGTCAACAAACAACTCAAAGGCACATATGCTTACATGCAGGTAGAAGAAGACAGTCCTTCAGGGGATACTGTAGCAATAATGCAGAGTTTGGAAACATTGCTTTTCTTCCTTTTTATGTAAAACTCCCCTGACAGTATGGCTTCTCTGACTGGCCTTCTGGAAATTGTAAAGTGGAGCTACATTACAGGGTTATTGTGGAAGGTTTCTGAGGTAAAGCCTCTTGCTCTAAGTGAGACCTCTGTAAACGTCCTTCTTCTCTCTCCTTGGGCAGAAACATCCCCCTGAACTCTGTCTGTGACACCCGCGTGGCGGAGGACTCCAACATTGTGTCCATGCACCTGGAGAACAACCTGATTGACCGCCGCCGCATCCCACCCACAGCCTTCTCCTGCATCAAAGCCTATCACAGTGTGGTGCTGCGGCCACAGGAGAACGAAGAGGAAGACTACTGAGAGACACTCCTGACTGGTCCTTCCCAAGAACCATGAGGGGCCCACAAAACTATGGGAACAAAAAAAATCCAAAGTCCCACCTGGTTGTAGGGAAGGATGCTCTTGCTCTTCAGGATGCTACAGTGTTAGGAGTGGGGAATAAATGATGTACCTCTCTTCTCTATGGGTGCATCTGCACTGTATAAATAATGCAGTTTGACACCAGTTTAAGTGCTGCAGCTCCATCATATAGAATTCTGGGATTTGTCATTTTACAAGATCTTTCATTTTCTCTGTCAAAGGCTGGTGCCTCACAAAATTACAAATCCCAAGATTCTGTAAGATGGAGCCATAGCAATTAAGGTGGTGTCAAACATCATTATTTCTATAGTAGGTACCCTCCAACTGTTGATCTTATTTCCTCCTCCTTTGAAGGGTACATCTTTCAGGGCCAATTTTACAAAATTGCCAATTTTCATGTGATGAGCGTGTATGGTAAACCTATGGTGGTTTTGTCCTATCTGCCTGCTTGTACAAATATATGAAAGTGGAAGATCAGGCAAACACCCAGGCCGATACTGATGATCTGTAAAACTACACTCATTCTCTCCCAACTTCTTAAGCCCCCTGTCCTTCACCTTGACCAAGGTCCCATCTTGTTGTCACACAGCGACACAACACAGATTTCTGTCCCCTTTGCTCTATACATTCCAGTAATAAACAGTCTCTTTAGCTTCTCTCCCCTCAAACAGGTGGGAATGGTGACAGCTAGTGGCCACCAGTTATTAAAGACAAGTGCCCTTTCCCAGAAAAAGCTGCAAAAGCGTCCAAAGGGAGGATAATTTACTGTATCTAAAGAGGAGGCTTATGGAAAACTTAAAAGTGTGTGTGCCTTCAAGTCACCTGTCGCCTTAAGGTGACCCCATAAATTTCATAGGGTTTTCTTAGGCAAGGAGCACTCTGCAGCAGTTGATTATCCTGCTGTAATAGAACTGTAGTATATATATATATATATACCCATCTTTTTTCCTATTTTGTTACAAAGAGTGCTTTTCCTATTTCTTTACAAATTCATAGTAAGTGTTCACTCAGTTATTCATCTCTCCTCATTTTGTCTTCCATAAGTAGACAGCCATACATCTAAGAAGCTATGCAACTGTTGTTTCACACTTTTAGCTGTTCCCACACACATA